CCCATCTCACCTGAGCAGGTCCATCTCGTCGCGCAGCGCCCGCGCCTCCCCCGCCAGCCCGCTGAGCTCCTGCGCCCGCACCTGCAGCCCCCGCGCCTCCTGCTCCAGGCGCGAGCAGCGCTCCCGCAGCTCCTCCTTGCCGCTCTCCAGCCTGAAACGGGGACCCAGCCTCAGGTGAGGGGCTCAGGTGAGGCGGGGGGAGCCCCTCCGGGTCAGTGCTCACCTGTAATTCTCCTCCTGCAGCTCCTCCACCTGCGTCTGCAGCCGCAGCAGCTTCTTGGCGGCGGCGCCGGCGGCGTCCGAGTCCAGCTGCTCCCGCAGCGCCCGGTTCTCTGCGGCCAGGTGTCCCTTCTCCTCCAGCAGCGTGGCCACCTGAGGCATTCCAGGGTGCGGGGAGGGACCCAGGTGGGCAAACAGGGGTCCAGGGGTGTGGGATCCCCTCCCGGGTGTATGGAATCCCCTCCCAGGTGTGCACAATCCCTTCCCAGGTGGGTAAAGAGGGGTTCAGGTGTGTGGGATCCCCTCCCAGGTGTGTGGGATCCCCTCCCAGGTGTGCACAAAGGGATTCAGGTGCGCAGAATCCCGTCCCAGGTGTGCAAAGAGGGGTCCAGGTGTGTGGGATCCCCTCCCAGGTGTGCACAATCCCTTCCCAGGTGGACAGAAAAGGATCCAGGTGGGCCAAATCCCTTCCCGTATGTGTAAAAAAGGAATCCAGGTGTGCAGAACCCCCTCCCAGATGTGCAAAGAGGGATCCAGGTGTGTGGGACCCCTTCCCAGATGTGCAGGATCCCCTCCCGTTCCCCTCAGGTGGGAATCGGGGCGATCCCAGATTTGGGGTCCCCCCTGCCCCCCTCAGGTGAAAATCAGGACAATCCCAGATTTGGGGTCCCCCCTGCCCCCCTCAGGTGGGAATCAGGGCAATCCCAGATTTGGGGACCCCCTCTCACCCCCCTCGGGTGGGAATCAGGGCAATCCCGGATTTGGGGTCCCCCCTGCCCTCCTCAGGTGGGAATTGGGGCAATCTCAGATTTGGGGTCCCCCCTGCCCCCCTCAGGTGGGAATCGGGGCAATCCCGGATTTGGGGTCCCCCTGCCCCCCTCAGGTGGGAATCAGGGCAATCCCAGATTTGGGGTCCCCCTGCCCCCCTCACCTGCTGCTCCAGCTCCCGGCAGCGCTGCCCCGATCCCCCCCCGGCCTCCTCGGGGGGCTCCTGGCTCAGGAAATAATAGCGGCGGGACTGGGGGGGCACGGGGGGTCAGGGGGGCTCTGAGACCCCCCAAAACCCAAAATCACCCCCAAATCCCCCCCAAATCCCCCCGGATCCGCCCCCTCCCCCACCTGAGTGTCGAAGTTCCCGTAGGTCTCGGCCGCCATCGGCTCCGACGGCTCCGGGTCCAAGAGCTGCAGTGAGGGAGGGGGAAATTGGGGTCTGGGGGTGTTTGGG